TATAACTTGTGATATTTTTTTATATGCTATAAAGTTAACAAATTGATTTAACAATTTAAGAAAATTTTGATAATATATAAAGATCCATAAAAAGATTTAAATTTATTACTATTGATTTTAATTAGTATTAATTTTATAAACTTTAGAAATGTCTTTATTATATTTTCTGATAAATTAAATTTTATTTTAAAGTTTATAATTTATAATAAAATCCATGTAAATTAACTATTGGTATTAATAAATTTATTTGATTTTAATAGTTTGGAATCTAAAAAAATTAATGCTAAATAATCTTTAAATAAATTATTTAATTTATTAAAAGTTATATTATCTTCTTTAATAATAATATTATTAAAAATATCAGTATCAAAAATATTGATATCAAAACTAAATAATTTTGTATTAGGCTTTCTTGTTTTGTTATAATTTTTTTTTGAATTTTTGATATTTATAAGAAATTCTATTCAAGTATTAACAAGTACTTCATTATATTTATTATAATTGCAAGAAATTTTTTTTTATTAAGTAAAACTAAAATTAAATACTTTTTTGATATTTAAAATAATTAAAATAAAAAAAAGTTGTTTAAATTTTATATTTTTTAAAATTTTATTTTTATTTATTTTTATTTTTTTTTAGATGAACAGGCAATGATGTAGATCTTTATTGATACTTTCATATATTGAAATACATCAAGTATCTTTTACAATTGAAACAATTGTTGATTTATATCGATTGTGTCTGATGATAGTTTTAACTATAATTAATACTGCTTTGTCTGAATAATAGCTTACTATCCATCTTTAAATCCAACTATGAGAATTATATACCAAAGATGGATCCAACACGTTAGATGGGATTTCTATAGGGGAGGAATTCCTACCACTAATTTAAACTACCTAACCTATAACCCGGTCTTGAGGCCTTATGTCTATCCCATAGAGGTTGATTAGAATTTCTGGATACCCCGATATTTTTCGTTTGGACCCTCGGAAGGGATACTTGCTTCTTGTTACCATTTGTGGCTTCGGTAAGTCTTTTCCACAGATCACTTCTTTTAAGCAAGTGTCAGATTGGAATAGCTCCAAACTAAAAAATCCTGATAAATCGAATTCGACCTATTGAATACAACATATATAGGGGACCTGCACAACCTATATATAAAGCGACTTCATGATGATTATTATACATCAATCGGACGATCATTACGCCACAACACCTTAACGGGAAATCACAATCTTAACATCTTATCAGATTGGTATGTGAATGGCTTTTTATGAGAAACAGCACATAATTGGTTACGATGCTAGATACCATATTAATTCTATTCAATTACCTTCACCTGGAGTTGAACCAGTATCTTGTGATCTGACCTGTGAAGCACTAACCATTGTGCTATAGACCCACAGGTCTTTTAAATTTTTATTTTTAATTACAATTTTATAAATATTTAATAAAACAAAACAATATTTATATTTTTTTTATTTAAAGATTTTAAAATTAAAATTATTTAAAAAATTTTTTATTATATTATAAAAATTAGATTTAAAAACAAAAAGTTTTTTAAAAATGATTAATTATTTTTAATTAACTATAAAAAAAAATTATAAATTATTCATTTATTTTAATAAATAGATTTATTAGATAATAATCAATAGAATTATAGTAATACTCAGACCGATTCGGTTATAATTCATTGGACTAAGGTAGGATAGAGCTAACCTATGAATCATGATTCAACTCCAGCTGGGAGCAATTCACATATCTCAAATTGAAATTTTGTGTTACTGCTCCTGTAACTCGTAATAGAGAACTATTTGGATTGTTCCAATGATCAAGAAGCCTTATAGATAGACTACTCTCTATAGGTCAAAAAGATAGATGATTTAATTGATAAACTTTCTTATCAAATATTGTCCAGGAAATATCTTTAAAAGGAAAAAGAAGTTTTATAGAATTTTTCCAATAGTAGAAAGAAAAATACAGATGGCTAAAACATTAGTCATACAACTATTAGTAAGAGTTTTATAAGTTTAATAGTAGTAAGGATCCAGTTAGAGGTGCAGGATATTACTTGCATCACAGGATGTTTCTATTCTAAGGATATATTTGTGATAGTTAACTGCATAATTCTATAAAACATAATCTTCCATATATGTTGCTAGGTTAGATTAGACAAAGTGAGGCTGGATTCAATTTTCAAATGAATTTGGTATACTGGTGTACCTTCATTCTTCAATAATATCTTACTAATTAAATCCTAATAAGTCTTGATTAAACTGAATGATTAAAAAACTATAATAGTAGCTACAGGCAATGATTATTAAAACATATAGCATAAAGTCTGCTTATTTTGATATAGCAATTTAAATATTTTCAAAGTCTATACTTAGAGGCTTAGACCTAAGACAAGTATTTTGGATCAACAATTATCCATATATCTTGAAAAAACACTGGAAGATTAAGAATAATAAAAACAGATTCTAAGTTGATAGTAGATAAACAAAAAAAAAAAAGAATTACAGTAATATTTAAAGTTTTAAAAATTTTTTAATATATTTAACTTAATAAAAACTTATTTTAATTAAATAAAAATTTAAATATAAATACTTGAATACTATAAAATTATTTTTACTTATAACTAGTTTATAAATTATATTATTAAAATTTTTTTTAATAATTTTTTTTAAGTAAAATTTTTATTTTATTTTTTATTTTTTCCCATAATTAAACAAGTATTTATAATATTTATTAATCATTGGAAATAAAAACTTAAATATACTTTTATGCATAAACTAGTTTAATACTTGAATACCTGTCATTGATTAATAATTTCTAAGTATGATTTTGAAGATGAATAAAGTTGCTCCCTCTTCTTTTCTGTTTCTAAGAAAAGTTAAGTTTATTGCCTATAGTTCATCATCATAATTAGTAAAATTTTTATATCAAATATTAATTTTATAATTAATTTATATGTTTTTATATGTTTATTTATAACAAAAAATAATATATTTTTTGAAATATAACATTAAAAAAAAAACATAATTTTTAAATAATATTATTAATTAATATAAAAATATTTAAATTAAGATTATTTATTAATACTAAAAGATTTATTCTAAATTTTTTTGTATTTTTTAAATTACTATTTATTAAATAATAATATATTTTTTAATTTTTCAAAAAAATTTTATAAAAACTTATAGATACCACTATATACTGTATAATAAATTATTTATTTTATTATAATAAATTTAATTCTGTTAATTAATTAATTAAAAATAAATAAGAAACTCTTTTCCACACGATGAAAATTGCCTTTTTAAGACATTTGAAAAAGTGAAAAAAAAGTGAAAAGAAAAATGGAAGTCAGTCAAGCATTGACTTCAAGTACGGGAAGAGGAAGAGGAACAAAAAGAAAAATGATAACTGTAACCAGAGAAGCAAAAGTGATAGCAACTACTATTATCAAAAGAGGACCAGGCAGATAATACATGTGGTGTAAATTATTTTGCTGTTGACTCAATTGTCAAAATCCTTAAAAATAATTGCGTCTGACTCAATTATTTTACAGTATATGTTTTAATAGTAACTCAATTAATTGTATCAAATAATTGCAACAATTGCATCAAGGATCTACCAATTTCTATCACATGTATAAAACAGATCCAAAAGCTTGAATAAAGAAAAAAGGAAAACAAAATCAGTATGAGCAACAAGTATGAATATAGAGAAAAGGAAAAGTAAAAAAGTAGAGAAAGAAGAGGAAGCAGTAGAGGAAGAAATGCAAGAGGCATCAAATAAGCAGGAAATAGAGATTAAAGAGACAAGACCAGAAGTTGAAGAAGAAAGCAAAAGTATTGTAGGATCAGATATTAGAACAGAAGAAATAGAATCATACAAAGGGAAGAAAAAGGAGCAAATAAATATAAAAAAATCAAAAGAAGTAGAAAGGAAGCCAAGATACACATGTGAATTGGAACTGATAACAGGTACAGAATCATTAAAGATGTTAGACATGATAGAGGAAGCATGTATAGCCTTCAACTCTTTTTTGGGGGCAAGAATAGGAAGAGAATCAGCGAGAAAAAAGAAAGTGACCATTGCCAATTTTGAAAATCTTATTGATATGCAGGAGGCATGTGACATCAACTTTGGTTAGACAAAAAAAGAGAATATCTAATCCTGGTGGAACAAAGGAAACATCAATTACAAGAGAAAAATATAGTGATAGTCAGAGACATTTCTCTTTTAGCAAGTGAGGAGGCAATTAAGACAGCATTAAAGAAGTTTGGAAATATCCATACCATATATATCCGACCAGTAGAAATGTGGCAAACAGCAATTGTAACATTTAAAGAGGAAAAAGATACACAGCTTTTAGCCAAAATGTGTCAATCCCATTTGAAAAAGAATATCTAAGAATACTATCAAAATAGGAAGAGAAAAAGGAACTTGCAAGAAGATCCAAATATGTACTCAAATTAGCAGGATTGCCAGCAGGTACCACTGTATACAATCTAAAGAAAATAGTAAGAGAAATAGAAGAGAAAACCCTATATATCCTAAGAACAGGTTTTAGATACTTAAGGGAAAGATTCACATACATAGCATTCGAAACAGAGGATCAACTAAAAGCAGTAGAGAAACAAACCTTCAAGCTAGACAGAACAACAATTAATTTTGTGGACCAATATAAAAGATTATATTACAAATGCGAACAGAGTGGACATATTGCTTTTCAATGTGAAGAGGTGAGAATCCAAAGAGACAAATTTATTGTGCAAGTGAAATTTGTGTTAATTCAATCAAGATTCAGAAAGGAATCAGAAAAGGAGGCTTCTATATCTTTTGCAGAAATTTTGAGAAAGCAAAGTAGATTCAGATCAGTATATAAAAAAGAAAGCAGAGAACAAGAAGAAATAAGGAAGAGGTTAAGCAACTTAGAAGAGAAAATCAAGAATATGGAAAACAAAATTAATACTTTATGGAAGTAGTGGATGGTATCACAAGAAGAGCAAAAAGAAGTGAAAGGAAAAAATGAGAGAAAAGAAGAGCAAAAAGAAGTGAAAGGAAAAAATGAGAGAAAAGAAGAGCAACAAACACAATATGAGGATGCAGAGGAAATGAATACAGAGGAGGATAAAATCTCTTTGGCAACATATAAAGCAATCAATGACAAAGTGACAGAAAGACAAGACAAACTAGAAAAACAAATAAAGCATATGGATAGAATTTTAACGGAATTGTTGGGGAATGGTTAGCCAGCAATTACAAAAAAGAAACAACAGTCTCAGGGACAATAGGGGAGAAATTGTACTATAACAACTACAAAGAAAATATGACATTACAACAAGAAAACAACAAAAAAAATAAAAAAAATATCAATATCTATAGAACAAATGGGGAAAATATAAAAATTACAACAATCAACATAAATGGATTAAATGAAGAGTTCAAAAAACAACAACTGCAACATTACTACCACCAGAGCGAAATAACCATAATAGGAATATCTGATATCAAATTTAAAAGAATAACAAATCAGAAATTAATGGGAGACAGCAAATACAAGACCTTTTGGACATACACTGAGAAACATTCAGGGGTGTAGGCCTAATAGTACAAAGGGACTGGGCTAAACATATTGGAAAAATAACAAGATGGCAAGGAAGAATCCTGGCCATAGAATTAATATTTAAAGAAAAGCGAAGCATAGGAATAATACAAATATATGTGCCACCACAAGTAAGTCAAAAAAGGAAAGAGATGATAATAGAAATGCAGAAAATTCTAAGAAAATGGAGGAGACAAGTAATGGGTATAATCGTTATGGGGGATATAAATATAATAACTAAGGATGATATGAATAGAATGGGAGAAAAGAAGCCAAAGAAAAAGAAAGAATGGATCAAAATGCTTAAAGAATTCGAACTATATGACATATATAAGCAGTATAATAAAAACACAAAAGAATATACCTGGGGAAATGAGACAAAAAGCAGAATAGACATGATATGGCTCTCAGAAGATATGAAAGAGTTATGCAAGGAAGCGAATATAATGGATATAAGACAGCAATTAAACACAGATCATAAGGCAGTGGGTGCAGAGATAGACCTATATACAATTACTAAAGGAATAATAAAGGTGCGAACAACAAATGAAAGGCAAGTGTATGATTACAAGCAGATGAATGAAGCGAAATGGAAAGAGGAAGGGAAGCAATAGAAAAAGTAAGAGGGCCAAAAGAAACTAAGGAGAAGCCAAAGAATAGTGAAACTGAAAAAGCAATATGAGAAATAAATAGCAAATGGCAGGAACTAAAGAAACAATGAAAAAAGGCAACAGAAAGAACCATTCTGAAAAAGATTCTAAAGACAGATGTATAAGCATTTAGCAAAAAAAATAAAAACAGTACAATTTATAGCCTTTAGAAAATTAAACAGAGCAATAGATTTGGTGAAAGAATGGAGGAGAAGGAAAAAGTGGAAGATAAAAAAAGAGCAACCGAAAAAAGAGACAAAATCAACAAATATATAAAAATATTGCCAAAAACAAAGATAAAACTAAGATACCTGAATGGAACCGATAAAGTTAAGGAATGGAGAGTAGAAATGAAACAAAAGAGAAAAAATATAAGAAAACTGTGTGAAATTGAAGCCAGATTGATGAGGAAACAATGGATCTTGAAAGCTATAAGAAAAGAGCAGAAAGATAACAGGAGAACAAGAAATGGAAAAATTTGATATCAAGTATCCTGGTATATGATTCAGCAAAGGAACAAATTAATAGGGTATGGGACCAGGTCATGGGACATATGGAATTGGAGAAGAAGAAAGTGAAAGACCTGACACAGGAGTACTTCGACCAGCAAAACAGAATCAGGAAGTGAAAACTGAAAAGGTATTAAAGAAACTGGCTGGAGGAATATAAAAATCTGATAGTTAAAATAAAAGATAGGAAAAAAAACAACCTGCTGGAACAAATATCAAAAAAAGAGCTTAAAAAGATGATTAAGGAAACAGCAAATGATAAGGCACTTGGAGTATCAGAAGTATCATATGAAATGTTAAAGAATTGTGGAGAAAAGGAACAAGATTACTTTAGAGAATTGCTTAATGACATACTTAAAAATGGAAAAACATCAGAAGAATGGAAACACTCAAGAATCTATCTGATTCCAAAAATAGAGGATTGGCAAGGTCAAATGGACAAATTAAGACCGATAGCATTAATAGAGACAGGAAGAAGAATTCTCTCAAAAATAATCATGAAAAGAATGAATAGAATAATAACAACAAACAAAATTTTACAAGAAAACAATTGGGTGGGTACAACAGGAGGTACAACAACCAAACCAAGAATAATCCTTCAAAACATAATAGAGGATCCACAAGTAAATAAAAAAAAAATATGGATTTTGCTTCAAGACACCAAGAAAGCATTTGATTCAGTAGGAAAAAAAGCGCTAGAAATAACTCTAGAAAGAATATGAATCTCATCAAAATTAATAAAGATAATTTTGGAAATGAGAGAGAATAGATCGGCAGACGTAATTACAAAGTATGGAATAATACAAGCATATAGAATTAAAGATAGATTGGATCAATGAGACCCTATGTCACCATTGCTGTAAAAAATTTTCTACGATCCATTGATTAGCAAATAAATAAAATAAAACAGAAATATAAAATAAATAGCAAGTGGATAAGGGACTATAGTACACGTAACAGAAGAAAAAGAAATTACCTTAGGAAGTATAGTCTATATGGATAATACAACTTGGATAGCGAATGGAAAAAAAGAAATGAAATGAATACTACAAATAGCAGAAGAGTTCTATCATATAAATGATATAGAAGTCAATGCAGAAAAATCCAAATTAATAGTACTTAATACAAAAAGAAAAAAATCGAAGATGGAATTAATGGGGAAACAAATCACAACTAATAAAGAAGAGAAAGCAAAAAGATTCTTGAAATCATAGGTACAAAAAAAACCAGGCAAACCTATACAAGAAAGAAAGATAAATCAAATAATAACATATAATCTCAACACAATAAAAAGGAAAAAAATATCAGCAAAATAGTAAAATACCTAATAAATGGAGTGATCTTATCAGCAATTGAATACGTAGCAACAGATACTTTTGTAAAAGAAAGTACAATAGCAAAATGGCAGAGATCAGTGGATGGGATATATAAGCAGAAGAATAGCCTAGCGAGCAGTTTTTCAAGCAGTGCTCTAAGGAGTCAAATGCTAAGTAACATTAAGAGCATTAAAGAGAAGATAGTATTAATAAAACTAAATTGTCTGGAAATGATAATTGAAGATAAGAGAATATTGGGCGACATAGGAGAAATAAGACTTTCACAACTTCAAGAAAAAGCATGGTCGACAAGAAAAGTTATATGAAATAAGCAAGAATTAAAAAAAGAAAAAAAGAGAAATATATTGGCAGATATGTTGTACGAGTGCCAAAGTCAAGGCTTTAATATAAAAGCAAAAAAATGGGACTGGATAATGGAAAAAACAGGGGGAAACATTGCAATAGAAAAAATATTGGATAAACGAACCTACAGAGAACAAAAAGAAAATATGAGAAAATGGAATGTGCTGTATATGGAGCAGTTAATCAAGAATGGCAATCTAGAGCTACTAAAATAGGAAAGAATCAATCTGGAATATGGCAATAAAAAAAAGAAGCCCAGATAATACAGTATAATGGAAGAAAACTGAAACGAGATTCATAACAAAATAACAAAAAAAGTAAATCAAAAAAACCAGTAGAAACATATAGCAATGTTCAAAGAAAACAAAGGAGTATATAGAAAAGAATAAGATGGATTGCATTTGGAAACAGTGAACAAGTAATAGTAAGAAAAAAGAAAAAGAAAATTAATAAGGAGAAAGCAAGAATCATGCATTATAAAGAACAAGGAGAACATCAAGAACTAAGAGAATATGAAGGGTGTAAACTGAATAAATACAACAAGGAGAAAACTTGTCAATTCAGAAAGAAAATAGCAGAGACATGGTGCCTGGCAGTCAAGAAAGTCAAAATAAAAGAAAAGGGTAAAATACAGTACATCAGAATAAGAACACAAGAGCCAAAAGAAGAATTACTGTTATGAGAAACTGAAGAAAATAAAAAAAAAAAGAGGGTGAAAAAGTGTAATAATAAAAAAATATATACAGATGTGGCATGAGACAGGAATAAGAAAAAAAATACAGGAGTATGGAAGTACTTAGAGAATAGAAAAGAAATTAAAAAAGGTACATGGAAGAATATAACACAAAGTGCAATACAAGCAGAAATAGAGACAATAATATTAGCATCAAAAAAATCGATACAGAAGGAGAAATAAGAATAATAACAAATCTAAAACTAATAGAACAATATATAAACAGAAGTGGAAAGGTTAAGAAAGAACTACAAAGGCAAAATAAGGATGGAGCAGTGCTAGCCAAGTTAGGTGTAACAATAAGGGAAAAAGAAGAAGTTAAGCTGATAGCAGAATGGATAGATAAAGAAAAGCAAGATCAAATTTTCAAAAAGATAGATAAAGAAATAAAGGAGTAGCAAAGAAAGTCGAAGATTACAGAAAAAAAAGCAGAGACTAACAAGGACAGAGATATAATATAAAAAGAAGGAATGTAAAACATGGGCTGGAAAAAGATTTGGAAAATTAGCAACAAGATTAAAAACATCATAGTATGATTAAAATTGAAAAGAAATAAACAGATATAAAATAGACAGGAAATTGACTGGGAAGCAGTATGGAAAAGATACAAAGAAACAATACGGATTAGCAAAGAAGAAAGCATAAGCACTAGATGGTTGGAAAAGAAGATCAATAGTGAACTGCTGACGCTTTAGAAGAAAAAGACAAGAGACCAAGAAGGATATGATAAATATAAGAAATATATAAGGTATGGAGAAAAGAAAGAAGATCAAACATATATATGGGAGTGCAGACTAGTGAAACAACAAATAGCAAGACTAAAGTAGAGAATTATAGAAATAATGGAACACTATATCAATGGAAAACTAATAATAGAAGAGATAGACAAGAAACAAAAGGAAATCCAACAAGCGATAGAAGAAGACAACCTAAAGATCAGCTGGGCATGGATAATATAAGAAATAGTACCAAAGTAATGGACAAAAATTATAAAAGAAATGAACAAACAAAAAGTGGAGAAAGCAATTAAAGAAATAAACAGAACAATCAAACAAGAAGCAAAAAATATCTGAAAAAAAAGAAATCAAATGGTGAAGGTATGGGTAAAGAAAAATAAA